TGTATATACCATATAATTATGTAACTTGCAAGGGCATTGTTCGAGGAATTAGTACTAATTTTTTAGATGAAGAGATTAAACATATTTTAAAAAGTCAATTTCCAGTTCTTGAGGTGAGGAGAATGAACAAGAGGGTGGTAGAAGATGAAAAAACTCTGTATAAACCTACAACTACAGTACTTGTCACATTTGAGGGGATTACATTACCAGGCAAAGGTTGAATTATGTTACATGAAATACTTTGTCACACCCTATGTACCTCAAGTAACACAATGTTATGTGTGTCTATTATATGGTCACACAAGTAAGCAGTGTAAAGGCAAACGTAAATGTTTTAGTTGTTCAAAAGAACATAATACGGAAGAGCAGTATGAAAACTGTGCAGAAATTGAATGCTATCATTGTAAGGGTAATCATAAGTCAAATAATAGAAATTGTAAAGAATACGAAAGCCAGAAAACTATTAGAGAGAAAATGACATTTGAGAATGCAATTCAAATAAATCAAAACTTTCCTCCGCTATCACAGAGTAACAGTACAGACAACAATGTATCTGAAAATATACCGATTAGACACAGACGACAAATTTACCAGGACAGAAACACGAACAACAAACGCACATACACACAAATAGTTAATAACAGTCAGACAAACAAAAATAAGGTACAAACCACGGATGTGGACTGGAATGTTCTGAATGACATATTATTGCACCCAAACGGGGCAGTCCAAAACCCAAAAATGGGGTTATGATGGATCATACTAACAAAGAAAATAGTAGAAATAACTTAGAAAACTTCAGCATTAGGGAAAATAATTCAAATGGAAACTTCAGATCATTTAGGCCCACTGGTGCCATACCTAAAACAAAAATTCATGACAATGCAACTACAGAAAACGAAATCATTCAAAAATTTTTGACATTATTTTCAGAAATTCCGTCAAATATACAAAATCAACTTGTGAATCTATTCAATCAACTGAAAGGGTATACGTAACGAGATGCAAAGCATCTTGGAGTCGGACGGCAAACACAATAATATTACACTAATAAAATTCAAGATATTACAGTGGAACATTAGAAGTGTGAACACGAATAGACACAACATCTTAACTATCATTACCAAATACGAACCAGATATCATTTTGCTGAAAGAAACATGGCTCAAATGTGAACAAAAATTTGTAATCAAAACATATAACATAGTTCGAACCAATAGGAAAGATGGCTACGGGGGGTTGCCACTCTCATACGATCTAATCTCAAGTACAAGATAATCAGTTATGATAATTCCCTAGACAGTGATAACTATCAATTCAATGTTATAACAATAGGAAATATTCATGTAATCAACATGTATAGTACGTTAAATAACATTCCAACATGTAATACAATGAATAGAATTTTGAGCAAAATTTCGGGGGCATTAGTGTGGATGGGGGATCTGAACGAACATCATCCTGTTTGGGGAAGTAACAAAAGTAATAGCAATAGCAACATTTTGATGTCTGTTATGCAGGATAACGACTTAATTGTCTTGAATGATGGTACGTCAACACGATTTCAAAATCCAGCAGATAACCCTAGTCCTATAGATTTGACAATAGTATCTGCAAGTTTAGTTACTAAATGTACGTGGCAAGTTTTAATCGATTGTGGATTTAGCGATCATTATCCCACTATATGTACAATTGGTGATTCTATAATGGCAAAAGAACATACTAGCACCAGGAATAACAGAATATATCGCAATGCAAATTGGGATATATATCATAGCTACATATTAGACAATATGGATAATCAAAAGAAATACTCATATGAGGAAATTACAGAGCTCATGAATAATGCAGCCGAGGTAGCTATTCCAAAAAGGAAATCAAATAATAGAACCACTCCGATGTGCCCATGGTGGGATAATGAATGTGACCAGAAAGTAGATGAACGAAAAAGAATTATTTCAGTATTTAAGCAATAACCCTACTATTGATAACTACATAGCTTCAAAACAAATTATTGCAAGGACAAGGAGGTTTCTTAATAAAAAAAAAACGCATTGGGTTTCGCAATTTCTGTTCCTCCCTCAATAGAGAAACCAATATGTCTTATGTATGGAGAATGATTAATAAATTTTCAAATCGGAATAATCCACTAACCATAGTCAATAAATTACCATATAGTAATGTAGCAGAAATATTTTTATCAAATTTAACAATTTGTGATATAAATCCTAGCTTTGAATGAATACCCATTTTGACAGAGGTAAAACCATTTAATATTATAGAGTTGAACAATAGCATGAGATACACCAGGAGCACTGCACCAGGACGGGATAACATACCATATGTCATGTTTGATAAGATACCACATATACCCAAACATAAATTATTAGAGCTATATAATAATATATCAAGAGGACACACGTTACCTACAGATTGGAAAGAGTACCTAATATTAGGTTTTTTTAAAAAGAATAAATGCCCCACTGACTTCAATAACTACAGACCAATCGCATTACAATCGTGCGGCTTGAAAATTTTGGAAAAACTTATAAAAAACAAGGTTGAATGGCACATTGAACATAATAAAATTTTATCCCCTTATCAAACAGGCTTTAGGAAAGGAAAAGGTATACAGGATGGACTAGCATATTTGGTGACTTATGTACAAGTGGCATTTGGGATGAATCAGACGGTGGTCGCAGTGCTCCTGGATATCAAAGGCGCATATATGACAATGTCAATTTATATAATTTATACAAGTACTGGATAAAATAATGAATTGAAGAGGAATTAGCCAATTTGGTATTCAGAATCTTATATAACAGACAAACTTTCATTTTAGATAACGATAATAATACACACGGACCAGAATCCGCTACAAGAGGTTTACCACAGGGATCACCATTAAGCCTAGCGCTATTTAATATATATATAAGATCCATTCATCCAAGTACTTGCATTCATCCAAGTACTAAACTTATTGCGTACGCGGATGATCTGGTTCTTTTAGCTAAAGGAGCTAGTGTTAAAGATATTGAAACTCGCATCTATATTTCATTACAAAATATATTAGATTGGATGAAAGCACATGATCTTCAGTTATCTATTCACAAGTGTGAAGTAATTTGGTTTCATAATTATAGATTTGTCAAAGATAAACCCAACATCGCCATAGGCACAGACATTATTAACGTTAGAAAAGAAATCAAATACTTGGGAGTGACCCTCACTCACAATCTCAAGTGGGATACACACATAAGTAACTCCATTAGACGAGCAAGTCAAGGTATCAATGTAATCAGATGTTTCAGTAAGGTATGGTGGGGTGCAGACCCAAAATGCCTTCTGATGGCTTTCAACGGCATAATAAAATCGCACCTAGACTTTGGATCAATATTCTTACAACCTTGCACAAAAAACAACCTGAATAAATTAAATAAAGTCTTCTATCAGGTTCTGAGACCGATAACAGGAACAATAAAATCCACTCCGATCACGGCACTTTTAGCAGAAACAGGTGAGATGAGTTTAGAATTCAGGCGGAAATGGCTTGCTACTAAATTCGTTATAAATAGAATTGATCATCATAACATTTGTTAAAGATATTACATGATCTTTGTAAAAGTAAACAAGGATACTGGAGGAACAGAGAATTCCCTTATATGGTGAAAGCGCTAAACAAAATCACACCATACACAAAGGATATATACAAGAACAATATCATTCCAGCCTTTAGTTTTCACTTTGATACATACATACATGATGTACAATCGGTAGAATTGAAATTGCAAAAACATGACTCCTCAAGTCGCATCAATGTCAAACACTTCGTAGCGAACAATCTTGATCATATTTTTGTATATACGGATGCGTCCAAAATGAAAGATAAAGTAGGGATAGGAATTCATATACCGCAAAAGAATATCTCGTTTGCCGCACGACTCAATAGCCTTACATCAATATGTGATGCAGAACTCACTGCAATTCATCAAGGAATGATGATGTGCTTAGAAATTAATTTCAACAATAATGTTATACTCTCAGATTCCAAAAGCGCATTGGACAAAATTTTCACAAGTACTATTACAGCACGCAGTGATTACATAAGTCAAACAATAAAACAAATGGCATACTTAGCGTCATTAAATGAGGTTACATTTAAATTTGTTTGGATCCCCGGTCATTCTAATATAGAGGGTAATGAAAAAGCAGATACTAGCCAAAGTTGGCATATCTCTTAGTGTTCCACTGAATATCAAGTTGAATAAACACAGTCTGTTGCCCATTTTCAAACAACGAATAAAAGATGCTTTCCATCAGGTCTGGAAGCGGGACTTACAATCCAAAGGTAAATTGTATAATCAAATCCATTCAGAGTACCCTAAAAACACCTGGTATCTTGAGTACCCTTATATGGATAGGCGACATATTACCACGATAATACAGATGAAAACGGGACATTGTGTACACAAAGAACATCTATTCAGATTGAAGATTGTAGATCACCCTAACTGCGAATGTGGTGAAGTAGAAACGCTAAACCACATATTCCTGAAATGTCCGATCAATAAGATCCCGAACAAAGACTTGTACAATGATCTCATCCTCAAGGGCGTTGGTGCCCCCATGAGTATCACAACAATTTTACATGGTTTAAATCTTTCTATATTAAAAATATTAACTCATTTTATAGACTACAACAAACTCAAACTATGATGTTTCATATTTCATCTCAGTTTCATTCATTTCCATCCCAGTTACAACTGAAATCATTCCTATTGTTAGTACTATCTGTTTTTAAGCCCACTTATCCTTAGCACACGAAGATACACAGATACAAGTCTCCGAAGAATCGAATATATTCCAAGAAACAATATGGATTACAGCATGATCACCAATCAGACAACGCTGTAACCCCCCGAATAGAACTGGCTAAATGCGCCGTACGGAAGCAAAAGCCAAGAAAATCTAGAGAGAGAGAGAGAGAGAGAGAGAGAGATATGCTTTTTGATTTTGGCAAGTCTAGAAATTTTAAAATTTCAGTTTTGTGTTTCAAAAAAAATCGAAGTTTTATCTGTTCCCAATTAGTTTTCACGTTCATATTGGGGGTAATATGGTGGTTAAAATAAAAATATTTTGACACCAAGACATATGCGTTGAGCGCATTCCCTATATTTGGCCACTGTTGGTAACATCATTTTCTGACAGTCAATTGACATTTGTTCAAAATACTTTGAGTTTGGCGGCTTTCCTATTTTCCAAAAACAAATTGGTCATATTCATTATGGTATCGATATTTGAAAAATTTCAAGAATATATTCAAAAGCGTGATCAAAATGGATTGGAGTCACTCATGACTACATTGAATGAAGAAGAAGTAAGACGAAGTAATCATGATTCATAAAAATCTTATATCTTATTTTTCAGCTGCAAAGTTTGATCAAACAAAGAATTAACACAGCAAATTTTATTGAAATTTGGGATTATATCCTCAAATCATTCAAAGACACGTCAAGATGCCATGAAAAAAGATTATGCTTGGTTCTATACGTTTTGAAGGAAATAGAAGATAAAGACCTGCCACCATCCCGAATTAACACAGTGGTTAATCGACTAAATCTTGAATTAACTAAGTTCAAGTCAGAACACTTAGCGAAATTATGTAGTTTTTGTTTAGAATGCATACAATCAAAAAAGTCTACAAAAATGGGGTGAGAGTTTATTCCCTCTGTCTTCTGTATATAATGACAACTAAGTTCAACTCTAAGGATTCTTAACACAAATTTTTCTTTGAGTCGTAGTACTATGAGACTGAAAAACTATCTTGATTATAATCTACAGTAATAATCTCAGAAACAAGAACTAATGATTATTTTATAATTTTGACAACAGTTATTGCGTCAGCATGTTCTCGTCTTATAATGTTTCCCAACCTATACTAATATCATAAATTCCTTCATGTACTGGTATAAATTCTACTGCAAGTTAGAGTAATTCTCTATATACCACCATAGGGAATTATTGTAATTTACAGTTTACGTAAGTCTGTCATTCAATACTAAAGCTGAACCCTCACGTTAGTTATTATAGAATACTAATTTAATCTAAATTTTGAGTGCTGAAAATGTATTAAGTATGTCAGTTTGAACTCTAACCAACTCTCATATTAAAAGATTTGTTACCTAATTTTTCAACTTTCATAGCATTAACAAATTTTTACAGACTTTCCTTTATTTTCAAATTGAATATTTTGACTGCATGAGAAACAGGAAATGGTAATTTCTACTCACATATCAGAAGATTGCATTTTCTAATGATATAATTTCATAATTTGTCTAGTCTCACCAACAGGAAGTGTCAACTACCTCCAGTTCTAATTTCAACTATATGTACTTCGTCAGTCTCAATATATTCAAAAAGTAAATTGAAGCTGAATTGAAAAGGGAATATTTTCAGGAGAGAATATTTTTTGGAAGAACAGGCTTTGTGTAGAAGTAGAAAGCCACAAAGTTTTTCCCAATGAATTGAAACTATTTCTGTCATTCTTCAATTAGGATATTGTGATCCTTAGCTGACCTCAGACTCTCTCTGTCTCTCTCTCTGATATTAACCTGAATTTCAATTCCATATTATGTTTCTCTAAAAATCTTCCGATCTGGACAGTAACATATTTTTGAAGCGGCATAAAAGTTTATCCATTGAAAAACTCATTTAGAGTAGCCTTGGTATTCTCTTTTCTGGATCTTATTGTTTACTCAAAATCAGCTTCATTATACCCAAATAGTTTTTCAACTAATTGAGTTACTCCTGAAGACTCTTAGATTGACAGATGCGTGAATTATTGAGTTATTGAATTGACATTTTCAAAGCTGTATAAAGTTTGTAGTTTTCTATAAGGATTCCAGGAACGTAACAGAAGATGGCCAAAGGAGGTAAATTTTCATTCAAAAAGTGGTTCAATTTCAGAGAAGTGAAAAACTAAAAATACATAAATAATATTTTTTTACCTTACTCTCTTGTAGACTTAATTTTTTCCATAGAAATGGATGGCAGTTTGAAGTATTTTGAACATTAATCATCAAGTACATAGTTTTCCTAAACTGTGCTATATCAAGATATGCAAATTAGTATTATAGTGGTACGTTGATGTCCAGTGAGTTCTGATTTCATTTATGGATATGCACAAGCACTGCAGAGAAATTCTTAAGGCACTATGAGATTGTTGTTAGTACAAAAGTGGTGACTTACGTTGGATTTGAATTGAAGTTGATATTATTTGGAAACACCGTCTTGGTACGTCTATTCCACTAAGAGGCGTTTCTTTGACATTTGCTGTTTTCAGTTTTCAGAATTATTCGGTCATTAGGTATCCCACACCATACATTAGTTTTAAAGGAATACTGATCACCACATTCAACTGTGAAATTGGGATTTTCTTGGGCCCACCATCGGCAATTTTGAGAACTTACCGTTCCATTTGAATACAAGAAACTATGAATTCAAAGTTTTATGTTCTCTAGTTGACAGATGAACACTTTGTCATGGGTATATATCTGGCACACATCACCCATACATTAAAAAAAACATTTTCGTTTTCTATCCCTCCATTATATAAAAAAAAATATGAACTTTCAAAAAAAAGGAAAAAACTGATGAAGAGCGATAAAAACTTTCTGGAAATATGTAGATCATCCAATATCTGTTTCTTCCAAAGTATATAATTTCCCTGTGTGACATTTCTTTAATTTCCAGTATAAAAAGTGAAGAAAAATTATTGTTAATGTAAAAGTTATGTAACTATAATTCATTGTTCATAAATGAAAGTAGACGCTTCCAATGTATGTTTCCCAATTTCCATCTTGAACAAACATCTGTAGATAATATTTGTTTTCCTTAAGGGTTTTTATTGTTTTTTTTTTAATTTTTGCTTTCTGTAGTAGTCTCTCATTATTAATAATGCAGAGGTAGACTATGTAACAAACAATTATATCTCATAACAATAGACATTCTTCCAGGTGGAAAGAAATGCTACCGGAGTTATTAAACGTTTTAGTTGACAGAGAAGATTTTACATATGAAGAATTGGATTATACTGGTCAGGAATACAAAACTGATTTTATTAACACACTGTGCATGTCTTCGTGGTCCCCGAATGTAGTAACAACTCTTGCAGCTGCCTTTATGTAAGAAAAAAATATTTTTTGTTTGTGGTGATAATTCTTATAATATTTAATTAGTGATATGCCTCTCAATAAAGAAGAACATCTGAAAGTTGTCAATAAGTTGGGAACTTATATAGAAAAGCTAACGGCGCAAGAAATACCAGCTTTCATTTACCAGTTGTTGAGACTATGTAAACAGCAAAATGGCAGATCAATGTTTTTGAGACTCCAAAATTACTTCGGAGTACGGATTTATTCAACTTCCAAGGTGGATGAAGACAGTTCTGAATCTACAATGGATTTTAATGCAATTGGTAATTTTTTTGTACTTTCTTCCTGTAAGTTTACATTATCCACACTTCACTAGTATTAGTATTGGTATAATAAATTGTCCATTGTTTCGGGTTTATTGGCCGTGGTACGTTTTTATATCTAACATTTTGCCTGTTACGGCGGCAGATATTATCAAAAGCAATGTGGCAACGGTCGAAGTGCTTACTTTGCTGCGTGTCGGATGGCCGACCGCTATTGTACCTGATTAGTCCTATCACTCCTCAATTACTAGAAGAATCTCTGTGTTATGAAGTGCCGGTATCCATATCTTGTTAATGTTTAAGCTTTCTTCTTTGAAATTATTCTTATGTTCATGTATTTTTATGACCTCTCTGAATGGCCTTGTTATAATGTTTTTCTTTTTACAGAGAGTACAAGTAATCAAGATACAATAGATGCAGAAAGTACCGTTTTGTTTCACATCCACAGCGCAGCAGCACTTGGTTATGAATGTATTAAAGATTATCTCAATTCTCTGAGAAATATGCTAAGGAGTCCAGAATTTGTATTACACCCATTTCAGTTGATGACACTCTTTACTATTTCTAGTATTCCTCATTATGAAGAGACGGTTTTCGAAATTGTTAGGCCTTGTATTGTAAGATCATACAATGAGGAACAAAAAAGGGTGCATTCTTGTTGGTTTCGAGAAATGGTACCGTTTGGTCCGAAACCCGAAGATGTACTGTCCAAAGTCATTCATTTTAGGTAAGATTGCCCTGAAACAAAAATTTATTCAAAATTCATTTTTTGTGAAGGAAAATCAGTTTTTATCGACCTTCTATGGCATATTTCAAAACTCCTTTGACATCTGTTGAAGAAGTAGAGAAATAAAAAGAATCAGTGAAGGAAAAACTGCATATAAACTTGAATTTTCTTCATTTCTGAATACGGAAGCAGATTTTAGNAATGACAAGAAACTTTCCCGAAAACCTCAAAAATATCAGTGATTTCTTTATAATTTAGAGAAAGTCGGATACACCCTTTTAGGAGCTGAAGTTGAAGTCAGTATTTTTCAGATTTTTAGGAGATGATTTTTCCACCTTTCACACCCCGAGATGTTGGTTTTGGGATATTCAAGTTTTCAGTTTTGCTGTGTTGACAAAAAACACTATGAACCAGTACCTGATTTTCATAATTAAAGTTTGAGTTACATTGAATTGACATTATCTCATTAGAAATATCCCTAGTACACTAAAGTAATTATAGATTAAATTTAGACTTCACTATTGAATGAATGAATGAATCAATTAATTAATCTCTATTTAATAGGAAACTTATCCTAATATACATACAATTGAACAAAGAAAAAAATCAATAACAAAAAAAGATATTATTAACATGTACATAGGTGTGTAAACATAACTAGATACATAATAATAATACTGGATAAAATATTCGTGATTATATCTTATATGCATAACAAGACTAGTTTTGAATTTAATTGTTTTGCATCTTTTATGTGATTAGGTAGTTCATTGTATTCTTTCAAACCCTTATAAAATAATGATTTCATTGACTTAGTAAGATTGTATTTTGGTAAGTGAAGTTGTCCTGTATTCCATCTTGTTTGATGATTATGAATTATAGAGATTCAAAAACAATAAAGTCATTAAAATATTCTGTCATCAACTCATTCAAGACTTTAAAAATTAAAATCACTAGAGGATATGTATAATCTCCGTGATATTTACATACCAGTTACTCCTTAAGGTTATATGGATTTCTTGATTCTGCAATTTCTGTAGACTTGAAATATTGTAGCGTCAAAAAAATATAATATACTTTCACAGAAATCAAAGTGAGGTTGAATAATTTGTATTTTAAACTGTTAACTTAGGACCTAGAATATAAAGATGAGACTCTGGTAAATAAATATATCTTTTTCGCAATTTTTCTGTAAATATAATTGAAATGGGCATTGAAAAAAAAGTGTAACCTAGCATGAAACCCAAATACTTAATCTCGTTTACAAATGTGATTTTTTCACCATTTATTGAAAATATATATTGGTCCATATAAGCATATTTAATCTTATGTGTTGTAGATAATAGCATTGCTTTAGTTTTATTAAGTTTAAGTATATTGTTATTTAGGTAGGAATGAATTGTTGCTAGTGAGTTGTTCATTTTGTTGATAGTGCTATCTACTAAGTGAAATAGATAACATTGTATCATCAGCAAACAAGTTACTAAAGTCACAGGAATGGAATAATTTAAAATAGATACTGCAAATGATAATAGTTATTGATTGATTGAATTTCAATACTCTAACATAGATTTGTACATGAGATGTTTCTTTCCCACTTGGGAATTTGTTCACGAGATGGATCTGTTACTAGTTTACAATTTATTTCTAAGACATGCAGTTGAGCTGTCTCGAAATTAATCAATTCCCAGGCACTTTGCTGTTTGGTGGATCTTTCCTGTACACATGAGAGGTATTACCTCAAAATCGGTCTGTAGGTAATCTACTTGAATAATNAAAAATTTGATGAATTTCAGTTTTTATGAATACTGGTCTACCTGAATTTATCATTGGACACTTTTGAAGTATATTCAGTTTAACAAATATTGATTAAAAATATTGTCTCTATTAAATATAATGAGATAAAAAACAAGTTTCTTAAATAATATGTAAACCACTTCCCAACCATTTGATATCATTCTATTGATTCATTATGAATTTATTTATTTGGAAACATCATTTCCAATTGAAAAATAACTGATGTTTTTATATGAGTATTTCATTATCGTGGTACCCTTGTTTTGAAATAATTTAAATGATTTCATTTTCAATACCTGAACATCAAAAACAAATAAAACTAACTTTATACAAAAAATGTGAGAATCTTCCAAATAAAAGAAGAAGATGTGTAGATCGTGCAAAAAGGTAACTTTCAGACACAAAACTGGAAGAAAAATCCATCTCAAAACAACTTTCTGCATATAAACATTGAAATACATGAAAGAAAAAATACTTTACAAACAACTTCTTTTATATGAACATTGAATTATACACAAAAAACACTTTTGTCTATTCAGTGTGTACTCCAAACATTCCTTATGGAATTGAATCAGATATAATTCACTGGATTGCTACACAATATGGTGAATGAAACATGGAAAATTGTCATCCTCAATGGTGGACATCCGATGTTTTGGAATAAGATACTCGCCTTATTGCCTCTTCAGAACCAACCTGGATAACATTATGAGATAAATCACTTAGTTCATTCATAAAATTACGACTTTATGCCACGAATGCGTTAAATTTACTCATGCCATCAGTGACAGTACGTAATGACATTCATTCGCTTATTTGATTTAATCCCAGCCGTTGTTTAAATTGAAAGGGGGAATTTTTTTGGGAAAGAAAGGTTTTGACTTTCACTTCCAGTTCATTTCAAAATAACTCTGTACAAAGATGTGTAGATCATGCAAAGGAGTAACTTTCAGACACAAAACTGGAAGAAAAAGGTTTTTTGTATAATTCAATGTTCATATTAAAGTAGTTGTTTCTTTGGTATAACTCAATGTTTATATGAAAGTAATTGTTTAGAGAGAATATAGTGATACCTTACCATCCCTTACTAAATCTTGAAGAAGTCAGAATTGAGCATAACCTAACTTGATATGTTACAAGTATTAGTGAATTAGTAGAAATTGTGTGGAATATAAAGAATAAAAAGACAACTGCTTATGAAAGACAACTGCTTATGAAAGAATCTCCAAAAAAATTATCCAAAATCTTCCAATTAAGGCACTTCAAACATTGCTCTCTGATCAACACCTCATTCCACAATGGATTTTTTCCTGACTTTCTGAAAACATCCGTTGTCCTTCCATTATACAAAGGTGGAGATTCAGATGATCCCGCGAATCTTCGCCAGATCTCCCTTATTCCAACTATAGCCAAAGTTATTGGCTGACGATTTTCCTACAACACCACTATATCTTAAGTGAAAGCCAATGTGGTTTTCAAAGTAATAGAAATACCCACGATGCCATCTTTTCATTTCTTTATGATATTTATTCAAAGTTTAATTCTGCGGTCTTTTGTGATCTATCTAAAGCGTTAGATTGCGTTGATCATAAGATACTAAGAAAAATTCATATATACGGCTGCAGAGAAATGACGCTCAAATGGTTTGATTCTTACTTTCAGGAAGGAATCAAATGGTAAGAACAACAGGGCTTTCAGAGAACAAGGATATTATGTGTGGTGTGCCACAAGGATCAGTTCATTTCGAAATTAACTTTTTACAAAGATAAATTGATGGATATAGCCGTTACTACGTGGTAGGAAATCATAATGAACAAAAGAAAATTGAGACTTTCTATGTTTTTTACCACTTTTATTTGTAACTAACGTTACTGCAGTTTCGTCCTATAAGGACATTTTGAAAATTATACATTAAACTAACAATAGTTCATTACATTAGCCCTATATATACCCTGTTGATACTGATAGAGGTACTTGGCTTGATTGAGTACCTGAATTTACAGTTTACAATGCATAAACTGAAAATTTGCATAGTGCGAAATTTCCGTATCGTTTAGATTCGAAAACTTGTGGATACATGCCAAGGAATGGTTTGAAAACGTCGAATCGTTTTGTTTTTACCCAGTCTGAAGAACCTTTCATGTTCAGCATACGTTTTTGGAAATTTTGACCACATTGTCCCACATAAACACTATTACACTCCGGACACTTAAGCTTATAAACTCCAGATTTCTCCAACTCGTCCACCTTATCTTTGGCATTGAAAAGGAAATCGGATAACCTGGCATGTGGTCTGAATGCCACTTGCACATTGTTTTTCCTGAAGAAACCCCCCAATTATCTGTGTTCTTTTTACAAAATATGTTAGAATTACCCATTTCTTGATTTCTGGTTGTTTGAGCTGAGGGTATATTAATCTGTAAGTGAATTTACGGCTTTGTTTTCTGACTAACTTCTGGATGGTATCTGCGTTGAAACCATTATTATGACCTATATGTGTAATTATATCAATTTCCCTAGCTAGATTGTTAGCAGACAAAGACAGTGAGAATGCTCTGTGCAACATTGAATTGTAGGCTGATAATTTATGACTGCCTGGATGGAAAGTATCGCTTGGGATGGTAATGTCTGCATAGCTAGGTTTTCTGAAAACATTGAACTCAAATTGATTTTGAGTGTGTGTAATGGTCAGGTCTAAGAAATCTATCTGTTTCTCTATCTCTGTTTTGAGTATGAACTGAATGTTGCTATTGAGATAATTCATGAATGTCATAAATTGGTTCAGCTGTCGTGTAGTACCTCTGAAACAGGCATGAACATTGTCTACATATCTGTACCAGAAATGAATGTTTTTTACCCAGTTCGGAATTTACTATAGTGGTCTCCAACCTATTTATAAATATGTTTGCTAAAAGTGGACTATGGGGTGAGCCCATTGGTAAACCTAAATCCTGTTTATAAAATTTGTTGTTGAACTGTAGGTAGCTCTGATTTAGGCACACATCGAAAGCTGTTAAAACTTCAAAGGAAGTGATATGGTCTACTTTGGTTTGATCTAATATGTCTAAAATGAGGGGCTTACACTCGTTGTACGATATGTTGGAGAACATACTCTTTAAATCAAATGAAACTAAAATTGAATTATGTGGCGTGGTTTGGTTCCTTACGTATTCTACTAAAGTCATGGTTTCTACGCAGATACTATCCAGAAGTTAGTCAGAAAACAAAGCCGTAAATTCACTTACAGATTAATATACCCTCAGGTCAAACAACCTGAAATCAAGAAATGGGTAACTCTAACATATTTTGGAAAAAGAACAGAGATAATTGCGGGTTTCTTCAGAAAAACAATGTGGAAATGGCATTCAGACCACATGCCAGGTTATCTAATTTCCTTTTGAATGCCAAAGATAAGGTGGACAAGTTGGAAAAATCTGGATTTTATAAGAATAGGTGTCCGGAGTGTAATAGTTTATGTGGGACAATGTGGTCGAAATTTCCAAAAACGGTATGCTGAACATGAAAGGTCCTTCAGACTAGGAAAAAATTATTCGACGTTTCCAAATCTTAACAATACAGAAATTTTGCACTATGCAAAGAAGGGTTATAAAATCAATTATTTAGAATCCTTGGAAATTCACAAGCATAAACATTGCGGGTGCAACCTGTTAAATGATCAAATCGATTTAGTTTACTCAGCGATTTTCAAATTGGCACATCCGCATTGTAAACTGTAAATTCAGGTACTCCATCAAGCCCAGTACCTCTATTAGTACCTACAGGGGTGGTATATAAGAGCTAATGTAATGAACCATTTTTAGTTTAATGTATAAGTTTGAAAATGTCCTTATAGGACGAAACTGCAGTAACAGTTACAAATAAAAGTGGTAAAAAACATAGAAAGTCTCAATTCTCTTTTCTTCATTCTTTACAAAGATTTGTAGATCATGCAAAGTAGTAACTTTCAGACACAAAACTGAAAGAAAAAGAATTTTTTGTATAATTCAATGTTCATATCTTTATATGAAAGTAGTTGTTTCAAGAAGGTTTTTTCTTCCAGTTTTGTGTCTGAAAGTTACTTCTTTGCAAATAGTTTATTTTGAAATTAATTGCCTTCTTCCCAATTTTTTTTTTGAATGAAGATGGAAAAATAGAAAGTTCAAAACCTTTCTTTCCCAAAAATGAACCTGCCAAAAAAATATACCCCTTTCAATTTAAAATAAAACATGCTCTTTTCAATATGATATGGTAAAATGTTCAATTGACATTTTTGCTGGATTGCTTTCTGATTCTGAAATGCGGTAACAGCATCAAACATAGTTCCCACTATGAAATAAGTTTGCAAAGATTCTTGAAAATTGGTTGAAAGTTTGGAAAAACAATAACCTAATTTTTCCTTGTATTGATAGGCAAGTTAAGAAATATAGTTCAAAATTACTTTCTGAAATTGAAGCATGTACTGATTTTTCATTGATGTTTTGACTTTGCAAAAAATATAAAATGCCAACTGGAAAAGGATGCAAAAATTCAGTTCATTACTTATTTTAATTTTTATAACAATGTAAATTTAAGTTTATTTAACTTCCTCAGGTCTATATGATGCAGTTTGTATGAATCCAGAACTAGGTATTCCCGTTCTAGATGTTATTTGGTTTCATTTTAGCGAATATTATGTTATGGATGAAGAACAACTACCACCACTAATTTTTGACAAAATTGTTAGTGTCAGAGAAGTTCAGGCAATGTTACAGGTGTATATTAAATCATGATTGAAAATTTGCTTAAATTCTTATACTTTTTTTTTTTAGGAACCACTGGGAAAACTAGTGTATGCCATTGGATTGATAGTAACAAAAGTATTAGAATCGGAGGAAGATAGAGAAAATAATACAGTGGTGAAATTCGTGAATATTCTTGAATCTCTTTGCCGCAGATTACCAAATTGTGAACTAGTTCATATTGAGCTGGTAATTATTTTCAATTATTTCAAAATTTTATCCAAATAGTTGATCTTTCAAAATAGTGATTTTTTTCAATGAAGGCACTTTTTGATTTATATGAATTTGTGCTTTAGGATGATGGAACGGATTTATTAGATATAATGCCTGAATCTCAAAAAAAAATGTTAATATTAAAAGAAGCCATGTCGGTATATGAGGCCCTAATTGGTTATAAGTTGTTTTCGTGGACAGAAAATTCAGAAAATCACGGCAAACAAATTCAGAATCTATATCAGGGATACTCGAGGTTGTTTAATTTCTCAAAGGTATGACTAATTTGCTTTCCAAAACAATTTTTAACCAGAAACGTTTTCAAGGCACTTTCAAAACCCAAAAAAGGAGGTGGAAAGAAAAGAAAAACTGATAACAAATCACAGCCAACACAAGCTGATACTACAATGAAAAAGGATTCACAAAAACCCAAAGTTTTTAAAGTTCCTGATTCAATTTTGGGTTTTCAAACGTTAGTGAAGGGTTTGAGCCTCTTACATGAGTAAGTGCATTTAAATGGTTTGAGAAATGTTATTTGCTAGGATACGGTACCTGAATGTCCTTCAAAAAAATTTATTCAAATTGAAGCAGAAGTTCTGCCATAGACAGGGTAGAAAAGTAATAGGTTTATCTATGTGATATTTATATTAGGTTTTTTAAAAAGTTTTGTCCGTTTTTATGAGTCTACTTCAAACTGTAATGTCTCTGTGAATACTTATTCAATCGAAATTAGCGCCATTTAAATCAGTGCACTTTTGCCAACGTAACACAAGTCGATTAATTCCCCGTCAGCATTAATATTGTTTGCTCAGGATTCGATGAAGTCGACAAAGGCCGTTTTTACCTGGTCCTGATTGGCGAAGGTTCTACCGATGAGAAAGTTATCCATGTGTTTGAAAAGATGGTAGTCGGATGGCGACAGGTCTGGGGAGTATGGAGGGTGAGGCAGAACTCAATTCATTTAATTTTCGGATAATGATTTGTAAAACGTGCAGACGGGCGTGGTCGTGGATCAGGATCGGACCTCTTCTGTTGACCAGTGCCGTCTGCTGCTGACGAAACTTTCGGTATATTTCATCGATTTCCCCACAGTCAGACTCTGCTGTGATGATTTGGCCCGGTTGCAGAAAAATATAGTGAATCACACCATCCGCTGAATACAGCAACCATGGTATTTTTTGGAAGGTTCTCGCCTTTGGGTAGTGCCTGGGTGACTCATCAGTGTCCAACCACTGTCCTGAACGTCTTTTGTTGTCGTGGAGGATCCACTTGTCATCATACATGTCGATCCGATCCAGAAAAGGATCGTTTTGGTTGCCCAAAAGCAAATAAGAACGGACTTCGAAACGTGACAATTTCTGTCGATCGTTCAAATTGTTGGACACCCACTTTTCGAGGTTTTTGACCTTCTTATTACGTTTTAAACCATCAAAAACCGCATGACAGCTGACGTTCAGTTCTTCCGCCATCCCACGCACCATTTGTGGTGGGTCAGTCTCCACCAGGGTTCTTAAAACCTCTTACGGATTCCTTTAAGGATACAATCTCCGAAACTAATTTTCGCAAATCAACATCATTCAGTGCGTTCATTAACACTATCATTGCCAAATGCCTGGTTAATTCTTTGATCTGTTTCGGCAGCTTGTGGTTTAATTTGAATTTGTGGAAAAAAATGGCTGAAAATCGCTCAATAACATCATATAGTAATAAGTTAAAAAATGACAAAAAATTTAATATTTAGAAAAAACGAACAGCATCAATGTATAGAGTACAACATCTCTATTGATCAGTATGTACCATGACACAGTAAAATAAATATTTATTGATATATGGAGCTACAACACAACTTTTATATATTGAATAGTAGAGTTTTCAATGCAAAGTTACCTTGAAGGAAAACTTGTAACAAGGCAAGGGTTCCTCATACATTGAATATTGAACTCCCTTCCTTATTAATTTTTTTTCTAGATCCAATGTCACCTGGGCATCTTCTTCAGAGGCAAACTTGTTAAAACCTAAGAAAGAACTTCACCAGCATTTAATGCAAGCAACACTCCATTTGGTACAAAATGCAAAACGTCGTAAAGATATTGAAACTAAAGTTAAAAAATTTTACTTCGATCATATTTCTGCTATTGCCGCAATTTTGTTCAATAGGATAATTAAACGAATGAATGAATTCATTGATTTTGACTCCATCAGTGCTGTGTTAGCCATGGAATGTTTCAATATGATTTTGATTTTGGTCAACACACAATATAGAAGCAATATGAAACAGTTTTTAAGCAAAATTGGTAAGTCAACGAACTCTTACGTATTCAAAACTAATTAATATAGTTTATTGTATAATTTTCACTCTAAAGGGTTTAATAAAAACCGCGACACGTGTTTCACTATACAATAGCTTCCTCAAGCATAAACTATCATATCTATTTTCATTTCATAACGTTCAATCAGATTCATAACAACTTTTTTGCATATGAATTGACAAGAGAATGTTTTCAGGAGATTATAGGTTTTTGGGAAAAAAGATTTTTGGCTTTCTACTTCCTGATCAATAAAAAGTGTGTAAAATTTCTAAAGAGAGGAAGAAAGAAAAGGATGAAAATGAATGACTCATCATAAAGAAATGAAGGTCATGCACAGATTTTTTTTCACATACAGACCTGAAGAAAAAACGTTTTTGAAACAACTACTTTCTTATGAAATTTGAATTAGGTGAAAGGAAAATGCGGCAGACATCATCTTCGGTATGTGTGTTGAGTGCGAGGATGAAAATTATATCTCGAAGTCTTAACAACAACTGACAGTGACTGACAGTCATTGCTGAGACATACATATAACACTGATGATGTCCGCCGCAGTAGCAGACGAAATGTTTGGTATTTCAGGCTACATTTGGACAAGGTCTACCAGCTCGGATTTTGTTCTCTTCAATCTTTATATTTCCTACGAATATCTTATTCAACTTTTTTTATAGGAGTTCTAGTTTCAGCAGTGGTTATGAAAAATTATTGTTTATCCCTAAAATTTACCCAACTTATTCCCCCGTACCTTTGATTGACTTTAATTAATTTTCCCATAATGAGCACACTATTTTCTTTCATTTGTAACTGTTTCCAGAAGAGAAAAGGGAAAAAAAATTCACTTCTTCGATTGACAACTTGTTTATTTTGTGGAAATTCATGTTCACTGAGGATACACTACAAAAACACACTTTTGTCTATTTTCCACTATATTTCTTTATTGTTGACCGGTTTCGGCTATTACACCATTTTCAAAACTAACTGATTACATTTAAATGTGAGTAATTTATACCTATGTTGCTTATTCTATCATAAATGATTTGATATACCTTAGACTTCAAAAGTTATTTTTTTGGTTTTTATATTTTCATTGTTATTTATCTTCATCTATTAATACCATTTACAATATGCTAATTATAATAATGCAAAGACGATTATCCAAAATTTGAAAAATAAATAATGAAGTATAAAAATTATTAGTGTGCCAGAAGTTGATAAAAAAATAGGAGGAAATAGGAAAAATGAGGGCACATTGGAATTACAGGTTTGTAAAAAATATATGTTGAATTTCAAACATTAGTTTCTGGGGTCATAGTAATTCATAGTATGAATAGAGGATACTGAGGACATACTCTGGTTAAAAAGTGACTAATTTCCAATTTTACAACTTTCTTGAACAAAGATTGTACCCGATGCCATTTATTGTATTGGATTTGTCTCGTCTTATATTCATCAATGCTACAAATTACTATTGTTGGTGGAGTTTGTAGTGTTGTTTCTCTTTATACATATTTTTACTTCAGTTGTTTGTAGGCAGTAATCATTTTTACCATGTTACAGCATACAGGATAGAGATTTAGTACTTTCTGCCCTAGTTAAGTTTGGCTTTGCGCTGCTTGGTGTAGGTTCTGCATTAGGAAGGGATATGATAGCTGAAAAACAATGGAATTTGGGCAATATGATTTTGTTGAAAATCATTAAAAAGAAAAGGCTGATTGCTCTTTCAATCCTTCAAACTTTGAGTAACCATATAGTTACGAGACAAACTGTTTCACAATATATCGGTTAGTTATTTCGATTACCTGTATGAATAATGAAAAAGTTAGAATCAGTTTTTTTCAGAATGTCTTTATATTTTGGGAAAAACTTCACCTTTGCTCATGTTGGAAAATCAAAGCTGCATAGTGGAACTGGTTGACTGTCTTGTTCAAGTATCAGGGCCTGTGGCTAATCAATTACTTGATGCCCTTATACCTTTGACAAAAGTATCACCTACAATAAGAGACCACCTTATCATTCTTTTGAGGAAAGCTCTTTATTCAAGGTGAGATTAACTAATACATTTGCTCAATAGGGAAGATATGTGAACGCCCACCTCTGAACGTGAATCAACAAAAACTATTTCTGGAACTTTTTCATCTATTACTAATTAATGACAAGAAACTTTCCCGAAAACCTCAAAAATATCAGTGATTTCTTTATAATTTAGAGAAAGTCGGATACACCATTTTAGGAGCTGAAGTTGAAGTCAGTATTTTTCAGATTTTTAGGAGATGATTTTTCCACCTTTCACACCCCGAGATGTTGGTTTTGGGATATTCAAGTTTTCAGTTTTGCTGTGTTGACAAAAAACACTATGAACGAGTACCTGATTTTCATAATTAAAGTTTGAGTTACATTGAATTGACATTATCTCATTAGAAATATCCCTAGTATACTAAAGTAATTATAGATTAAATTTAGACTTCACTATTGAATGAATGAATGAATCAATTAATTAATCTCTATTTAATAGGAAACTTATCCTAATATACATACAATTGAACAAAGAAAAAAATCAATAACAAAAAAAGATATTATTAACATGTACATAGGTGTGTAAACATAACTAGATACATAATAATAATACTGGATAAAATATTCGTGATTATATCTTATATGCATAACAAGACTAGTTTTGAATTTAATTGTTTTGCATCTTTTATGTGATTAGGTAGTTCATTGTATTCTTTCAAACCCTTATAAAATAATGATTTCATTGACTTAGTAAGATTGTATTTTGGTAAGTGAAGTTGTCCTGTATTCCATCTTGTTTGATGATTATGAATTATAGAGATTCAAAAACAATAAAGTCATTAAAATATTCTGTCATCAANTTGATTTGTTTGACTCGTCCTTGTACTCTTTTAAAAATCAGGTTAAACATATTGACCTACTATGAAGAAACTGCTGATTATTATTATTAATAATTAATTGATATTTGTTTTTTGATATTCTATATTATTATTCAATTGTTCATTTTTTCAATCACACTATTTATATGTTCATTGTATAATGGCAAGTCCGTGAATAAATAAATAAATAAATAACTCAATATCCAGCATGGTATTAGCCCATTGAAGTTCACCCAAATTGTTAAAAAATATGTTAATTGTTTTTTAAGGTCCATAGAAACTCGTCAAATGGCAGTAAATGGATTCCTGAAATTGATAACTCACCTTAAAATATCGAATCTGGCTTCATTGAGTCAAAGCAATCAGTCATCTGGATCATTTACCTCGGGCCACTCCTTTTTCACTCAAATTTCTTTGAATAAATCATCCCAAAATGTCGGATCTAGTGGTTTCAGCAATGAAGCTTTATGTTTGGAAGTCTTGAGTATTCTCAAAAGATGTTTCATGCAGCAAATGGAAGTAAGGATGCAATTGTATGAAGGTAAGAACTTTGTCGTAACTCGATCATTTTCGTTTTAATAAATGCAAAATTAAAATCAAATTTCGGTTTCAGAAATATATTTCTTATATGTTATATTAATTGTAAACACGTTTAATTCGGCACTTCAATCAATAGAAAATCATTGATCAATGTAATGCAATACAAAAAAGCATCCTTCTTTGGCTGTTTCCTTCTTGCAAATCTTGAATAGCTTCCTTAGTTCACCATGTTTAATTTTATGTATACTAGACAAAAAAATTTGATGAATTTCAGTTTTTATGAATACTGGTCTACCTGAATTTATCATTGGACACTTTTGAAGTATATTCAGTTTAACAAATATTGATTAAAAATATTGAGTTTAATTTAGGTTTGGCATTAAATAATATGTTTCCCAAATTTCCGTTGGATGTGTAGGATGTTTGTAAATTGAATTTTGAGAGATAATTTTTAATATTCTCGGAGATTCTACCAGCATAATTGATACTAACATATTTGTGTTCTGGTCTTGTGGAAATTGAGTATAGTTCTTTCATTATTGATTTTTGTTGATATTTCATTATTATGTTACCTACCACTCTAGTTAACAACAACTTTACACAGAATCTGGTTTTCTTTTTTTTTCAAGACATTTATTTATATTTGGAACAATCATGAAATACAAATCAATTCAAAGAACTAAGATTATAAAAAAAAGGAAAGGAAAAAAACATCAAAGGTGCTGCTCCGTTCCCTCCTGTTCATAAAAGAGGACATATACCTCATTGCTCACAAGTGATTTTGGCGAAATTGGGAACACGTGTGAATCATTGTATTCATGCCACGTGCCACTATATGGGTGTCTGCAATATGCTGTGTAATGTCCGTTGTAAGTAGTCCCACTGTGATTTGAAAGTGCATATAGATTATATCGACAAGGAGCCACATTGTTTATTTGATATCAGGCAATTGTTCTATAGGTCAATATTCCTTTTCATTCGGGAAATACTTGAAAAATTTTATAGAATCGGGAGGGTCACTCATAGACAAGAAGAACTTAAATGAATTTTTCTACATATTCTCTGTGATATTTTTCATGGTAGGTAATGCTACATTATGTTTTGGAAAAATTATCCATCATTGTATTGTGAAATTTATCTGCTTCTGTGAAATTATCAAAATATTATATTGATTTATTAGGAAAGTATTGATGAAAAAACAATTGATATATAATTGAACATATATTCCAACCAATTTACCCTGAAATCAGATCTCACCTCATCTCTTAACAGTTTACGATAATTTTTAACCAAGTAATTCATATAAAAATAGACATAGGTTGTTTGGAATGGGATTTATGTTATTGTCGATAGTTATGCAACACTTAGCTTTTTCCAAATTTTCAAAAGCTTCCAGAAGTCTAATATCATGTACTGATTTCAACAAGTTAATACAATGTTCATTTGTTCTATGGCCGTTCTCCTGCCGTCTTGATCGACATTGGACTTTTCTTGTCTTCGAAATCGGGTATATTCTTTCTCAATCTCCTGAAGATGCCAACTTGGTTAGTGAAACACGCATCAAAAAGAGTATATATGGTGATTGAGAAAAGTGCTTATTTTGGATTTATTTTATGTCAGAGGTTCAAAGTTCTACTTTTGAATTTCTTAGAAATTAGTAATATTCAGAATCATGACACCATAATTGTTATCAATTAGTAATTTGAAATCCAATTTTGGGCAGAAATCGATTCATTATGATGGAATTATAATATATAATACAATTCCTGAAGAAGTACAAAATCTATGGTAAAGAAAGGTTTTGGCTTTCTACATCTGTATACAAAAATACATCTGTATACAAAAAAATTGTAATAATAATAATAATAGTAATAACTCGGTTCAGTTTTCGACACTGAACGAGGTGACCACAACTCTGTCACCGAGTTGGAACCCGTTCAGCAAAAAGCTCATATAAAAGACGCAGAGATGACCTCACTTCTGCGAAAACGCAAGGATAATCCAATGCATGGGGTCTTCTTCAATAACATTGGAGACCTTGGGTAGTCAAAGCGCCTGACATTTGCTTTTCTCAGATCGAGTGGGCTGAAGTCGGAAACTGAGGGGTTCATCATGGGATGGTGTTCATGATCTTAATGCACTTGTTATCAGCATGTCCAGCATATGCGGTCTCGGCCTATATCCATCGACATAACGCGGCCCTAAGAGTGCCATATTACCATCTACGGCACTCTTACGGTATTGACGAGACACAGGTGTTGCCCTACGCTCCGGGGAATATTGAATCCGTTGTGGGGAATTTATAGGAACTATTCGTTCCCTACCCTCATGCTCATACAAGCTAATAAGCCTGATGTAGTCATTCTCGACCACCAGAGCAGGACGATATTTGTCGTGGCGAGACGAATGTCGTCCGAAAAGAGGAGGAGAAACAGATAAAATATCGAAATTTTCTCTTCGAACACCGCAGACTATCCAGACCGCTCTGTCAAGATGGTTGTTCTGATTGTTGGAGTCCTTGGTGGAATGATGCTCTCTCGAATCTTAAAATTATACTGCCCTGCCGCACTAAAGCAGAAATCTTAGCTGGATAGATGCAGAATGTTGTCATTCTTGGCTCACTGCGCTTGCTCAAGGCACATGATTTTCGGACCCAATGATCACTTACCCAACGGAGTGGGGAGTGGTCGTTGGTTGTTAATGCTGGCGCGCCCTCCCGAATGTATCGGGGCTTCGGGTGATAGGGCCTGACCAGCGCATACTTCGGTAAAAATAATAATAATAATAAAGGTCTTTATTAATCAGTTGTATTCATACATGTAGTAAACTAAATAAGTAAATGGGCAACATTCAGTATGGCAATCGGCAGCAAATAAAAGAAGAAAGCAATTCCAATGAGTTGTTTAAAAATGGCTATTTCTCCCAATTTGATGAATTTAAAAAAAACAATTTATTTCCAACAGGAGTACCCAGTTACAGAAAATGCTATTATTACAGAGTATATATATGAAATAAATATTAAAAATAATGGAATATAGAAATGTATAAAAGTAAATGCTAAAACAGTTTCAAGTGAGGATTATACAATTTTTCGTATAGCCAGAGTCATCTTAATGTTTTTAATATTCAATCTGGATAATTTCACATTTGACTGTTTGCTCATATTAATTATTTTACTTGTGTTTTCTTGGGATGTTTCTTGGGATAATAAAGACAATACAATACAAAGTCCTGAAGAGCCTAACTTGGTTGGTGAAACGCCCGTGGAGAAGAGTGTTGCAATTTTGATATTTGGGAGAAGTTCTTGTTTTGGAAACGTATATTTGTTTTGTTACAATGTCGTTTACTTTTTTCTTGCTGAAGCCTTTTGTATTAGAAAATGTTCCTATTTTTACAATTAGAAGAACAATAGATTTTTTTCGTAATATTTCAGTACCACAAGAAAATGACGATGGAACGATTATTTCTCAATTACTGGAATTGGTCAGAGTTTATCAAAAATTGTTTGAAATGGATGAAGACGAATCTGGTGATGACCCGGAAAGTAAAAAGATGTCACTTATTGTCATTAATACATTAACAACACTTTCTGGCTTCTTTCCTGGCATGGTGAACTCTTCAACCATTCAGGTAGGTATCTCAATAGATTGTTTGCATTAAAATTAAATTAATGTTTTACCAGATGGCTGAGTGGTTGAAGAACTTCGCTTACAATAATAATGTTACATCTAAAGTTTCGAGTGCATTTTCGAATTTATTTTTTGAGACTCACGTTAAATGTAGAGTTAGTCTCAATTTGTTGGAGGTTATTTCAGTAAGCATTGGAGAAACTATGGGTGTCTTGACAGAGGTAAATTAGCTGTTTGTTATTATTTTTATTATCAAAATCCAAAATTTCAATTCACTTGATGATTTGAAGTTATGAAAATATAAGGCACGTTCCGATTCATGAATTTGAACTATTTTAAAGGAGGACCTCACCCCAGAAACATTCAAGATAATTAATGAAGCCACAGTTCACAGCATGCTCTTATCTTTGTGTAGTACTGTGAAATCTGTTCTTGAAGATATTGAAGCCCTCATAGCCCGACTGAAATCTGAATATCACCTGTTGATGTATCCCGGTGTGGAAAACTTGGAGAGAAGTATGTCAACTTTTTTTGAGGTATAAATGATTCAGTATTATTGTTTCAGAGAAGGAAAATTTAAAAGCCAAGGAACGAGGAATATGCTGCCAATTGTGCTTCATTATAAATATAATGACTAATATTGTTAATCTCTTAGTGCCAGCAGGAAATATGACAGAAGCAATTTTCAAAAATATAATGCTTCTTTACAGTACCTTAAGTGCACTAACGAAACATTTTATTATGAGAAGTTCCAAGATAAATTTGGCATTTCAAGGAGCTAGGTTTGTAATCAATTCCACTACTTACTCATGAATTAGTTTAGGCCTTATATTAAAATCCGTTTATGTACCCAGCATACCTATTTTACCAAAATCATTCCACTGAAAAGCATATCTGATTCAAAGTTATTTTCCATGTTTTTATGCCTGACTTTTCGTCTATCACTACTGTAGATATTATGAAAGGTGATGAGACAACAGATGAAGTGTTCTGGTTGTTTTCATCGCAGAATTTGTTTGGGTCTTCATATTCATTCCATTGGTGGTAGGCGTGGCTTCGTTCCTATTGGTTGAATTGAGGACCCCAGAGGGCCTTCAGCATCACCGAGGGTCTACTTCGAAATCATGAGAGAATCGTAAGTACCCGGCTCTCTGAACACAACAAAAATTTTCACCTGAGGAATTCTGACAAAACAGCAGTTGCGTAACGTATACTTAGAGTAGGTACCGACGTTATCGCCTTTGAAGAGATAATAATAATAATAGAGGCAATAGAAATCCAGAAACACAGAAATCATTTCAACAGAAAGAAAGAGGTAATCAAAATTGAGACAGTGTGGCTACTTCCATGACTTCTTCTTCAATAACTGCCGCAGAATATATGGATCCACTATTAAGTAAGTCAACTAATGAAATGAAAAAAGCATGGTCTGGGAATATCACGTAGTCCTGATAAAATCAATGCTTATTATTGTTCAATTGCAAAAAACCTTAGTGAGAATATAGTGATACCTTACGATCCTTTATTAAATCTTGAAGATTTCAGAATTGAGGATAACCTAACTCTGTAGGATACAAGTATTAGTGAATTAGTAGAAATTTTGTGGAATATAAAGAATAAAAAGGCAACTGGTTATGATAGAATATCGATAAAAATTATCCAAAATCTTACAATTAAGGCACTGCAAACATTGGTTTCTCTAATCAACACCTCATTCCACAATGGATTTTTTCCTGATTTTCTGAAAAGATCCGTTGTCCTTCCATTATAAAAAGGTGGAGATTCAGATGATCTTGCGAATCTTCGCCCGGTCTCCCTTATTCCAACTATAGTCAAAGTTATTGAAAAACTTGCAAAAATACGTCTGACGACGACGTCTTAAGTGAAAGCCAGTTTGGTTTTCAAAGCAATAAAAATACGCACGATGCCATATTTTTATTTCTTTATAATATTTATTCAAAGTTTATTTCTGGTAATGTAGCAGCTGCGGTCATTTGCGATCTATCTAAGGAAGGCGTTTGATTGCACTGATCATAAGATCTTGCTAAGAAAAAGTCACCAATACGGCTGCAGAGAAATGACGCTCAAATGGTTTGATTCTTACCTTTCAGGAAGGATGCAAATGGTAAGAACAACAGGACTTTCAGAGAAAAAGGATATTATATGTGGTGTGCCACAAGGATCAGTTTTAAGACCCATCTTATTCTAATTATATGTCAATGACATTGCAAATTTGAGCATTTATGGAAAATTCACTCTTTTTGCTGATGACAGGACGATATTGTGAAACAACAAAAACCCAAATGATTCACAAGCGCAATATCTACTGATATGAAAAAAATCAAGGAGTAGTGTGATGCTAATTTGTTATCCTTCAATATCACTAAAACAAACATTTTATCATTCAGATGTGCTCTTAATGACCTGTCATTTGGTGATAACTTAGTGATCAAGAAAGAGACTCAAACTAAATTTCTAGGTATCCGCATTGACAATAAACTCTCTTATAGCACCCGTTTTACCGCGTTGAAATTGCCAATTCCTTTAACAAATTTGGCCAGGGATTCTGTTTATTACAATGGGGTCAAGGTATTCAATCATTTGCCCTTAGATATGACAGGCAAATTTGGCCAACAAAATCTTTAGAATAAGAGTAAAAACATTTCTGGCTGACATACCCTATTATAATTTGCAAAAGTTCTATAATGATAAAGTTACATGACATAATGTGCATATGTAAACTAATTTAGTGAGGATTCATACTGAATCCTCACTCTATTCAGCATCTTCATTGTCAAAAGTTATTTGCCTGATTTATAAAAGATATAACACTGATTCTCCAGATACACATAGAATCCACAACACAAGACAGAACAGTAATAATAATATCCATCTGCCAATACCCAGATTGACTCTAAGAAAACACTAACATGAAGGAAGGGAAAAATATTCAATCATTTATCACAGGTAGTTAGGGATATAATAGAGCAGAGACGTTTCAGGGAGTCTGTCAAAAATATACTGGTCATGAAAGCTTATTATAGCCTGCAGGAATATTATGATGACAAATTGTGAATATTCTAAGTGTTCTGCCAAGATAAGCCTAACAATATATGTATTAACGATCATGTTTTTATTATACATATTCTGCACACAACTATGTTGATACAAAATTCGACAATGAACTTTATATAGTATGTTCAACTTTACTTTTTTGTGTGTGTTTTCATATTTCTATACTTACATTTATAGTTATTTTTCACAAGCTTTGTCCACAAGATTTATTCTTAATGACAATAAAGTATATTATTATCATTGCTCTCATATCAGGTAATGGAATAAGACACAAACCAGTTATGTAGGACAACCAGAACACTTAGTCTGTTGCCTCATCGCCTTTGATATTACTCGTATATACTGCAGTTGTAAACGAAACATCGGTCATAGAAACCTGCAGAACACGACAAATGAACCCAGAACATAGTTTTGATACAGTTATCTCCGGCTCACACTCTTTGAGAAGCTTATTTTCTGTTTCAAGAACAGAGTGATAACAGATCTTGTATAAATGTCTATCGGATATAATTCAATATTTAGTGTGGCATTAGCCAGAGAAGTAGTCATTTACTACTGTGTAGGTAGTTGGAAAACACCCAAAGCTATTCAAAAGCATTGAAGAAAATTTGAAATCATTGAATTCAGGTTGTTAACAGAAATTTAACCCTGATATATTTGTTGTTCTCAGCAATATAAATATGCATATGAGCGAAGTCAGTATGGTTTGATTCGATGTCATATACTTTATATAAAGTACATGAACCCCGTGAAATAGAGTTGATATAAAAGAACTTGGATTCAGTTCCGAGATTTCAGTTGTGAATTCTGCTATATAAAAAGTATTCTAATTTCAGATTTGAACGTGTGGTCAAACTAACGGGTAAACAACTAGCCCCTGCAATTTATAAATTCATTATCCATATGGAAGAAAGTGAAAAGGATGCAACGCAAGCCAGTCCTCAGAAGAAGAAATCAGTAGATGCAAATACTCTGAAAAGCAAAGTTCTCAGAGAGACTAGATTGATACCGAAGGTGATATACGAAATTGAACAGTTCAGTAAATGTGTTATTCAGTTGTCTAATAAGACAAAAGTAGATTTGAATAAATATGTGGGACAGGGTACGGTTCGGGATTTCCGAATTATGGAACTCGATAAAGTATTGGAAAAAGCAGGCGGAGATGTAGATACTGCCACTCAGTCCACACAGGCAAATAGATCTACGGCAAGTGAAGAAGGATCGAATGAAGAAGTTGAAGAAGAGGAGGATGAAGATAGGCCACCTCCCACAAAAAGATCTAGGATTTGAGACATATGGTGTCATATGTTACTTTAAAAGTCAGTTACACTTTCTTCTTATTAATTAACGTTTAAATTTGAATATCTTGTGACTTGTTTGTGTTTGAAAGATTTATTTTATAATAATAAATGAGTTTAAAATAAATGAAAATGAATTTGGTTCGTGAGGACCTGTGAAAATATCCCATTTATGATCCAAAAAATACAGTTTCAAAACTTGCTAATATTGGAATGCATGTAGCAGTTTACTGTGTAAGTGTTCAATAACGTATGTGGGGTAACATAATCGCTAAAGAAAAAACTTTTCGTAAGAATCCAAGTCATCTCAAGTTTGTTCGAAAAGAGGACAAGTTTTGAATTGAAAGCCTTTGCAAACCCTTCAACCCTTTAGGCGAAGGAGTCATTCTCCAAACTTTTTGAAGTAAAACTTCTTTATGCGCGCTTGACTTGAGGAGTAGGCTGATGAATGCCGTACAAAAGCGTTACGAAGTGTGTTCGGGCGAGGTGAACGGAAGTTAGAGGGAGGTATGAGTTAGTGAAGATCAAAAGATATATAGAGAGAGAGAGTTTCGTTTCATATATTACTGTAGGGGCAAGAGAAAGGTGCGAGCACACATTTACGGTTGAATAGGCTCTGAAGAATTAAGAGAAAACTATCATACGTTGCCACTAATTTTAGCAGGAAATTTAAATGTCAATTTCGCGTCCGGAGATGGACAACTCTTCGTAAACTTTTCACAAAATAAATTAGAACTACAAATGAATAATTACTGAAATGAGCCTACCACAAGGCATGGAACAACAATCGATGCAGTTTTCTCTATATATCTTTCTAATGTTCAATCTGAAAAGAGATTAATCTAATTGAAAAATGAAATTGATCGTTTTTCATGATGATATCCTACCAATTTTTCACCAAAATTAGTGGGAGTATCAAAATTTTTGAAGCTGACTGTATCAAATACTTGGGCATAATTATTGACAAATCATAAAATCAATTATTTGCTGAAAAAATTAAGAATCCTGCCAAAACTAAAATATTTAAAAAAATCCTTTAATATACATCATCTTTAATATACAAAACTGTATATTGTCCAAACAGGGAGAATATCATGTTTCGTTTGAATGGATAGAGCGAAAGATTCGAAAAAATTTTAAAAATTGGAAAAAAGTCGAAATAGTGAGTCCAAATTTCGAGCAAGGATATAAAATTGGGAACTGAGCAACTTTTTTTGGCATTTTTCGAATTTTAAAAAAACTGATTTTTTGAGGATTTTCGAAAAAATGTCAAATTTGACAGATTTAGAGTAGCACATGACAAAAGGAAACGGGTTGTTTTTTACTCGTTTTTCAAGCACAAACTAACTGGGAAGTCAAATTTTCATTATATCTATTAATAATTTTTTTTCCATATGTAGCGAACTCCATGTGTGACATTGTATATTAGAAAATGTCATGAATAAACTTAAATCGTTATTATTCTAGTTTTCCAAAATACGAAACTTTTGTCCAATTAAACCAACCTTGTAGGTCTTATCGTTTCAGAGATAGCGATAGAGGGATCAGCTAACATAACGGCCTATATATTGACAGTCATCTAGACTGGAGGTCTCTGACCTCCAGACTTTCCTCGACATTTTTCATATGCAGGTATTTGAAAACCGTGCCACCTCAGCCCCAACTATCATATATGTACTAGATACAGGAGCAAAGTCAGTTAAGGTACAGTTTTTGTCTATGGGGTGAATCCACTTCACATCAAAAAACGTTTCTTGCCCAAAAAACGTATTAGATGTATTGCTGATATTTTTAGAGATTATTCTTGTAAAGAAATGTTCAAATCCTTCCATAATTTTACATGTGTTAGTCTCTACATCTTTGAAATTTGTCTGTGTCCAGGAATGATTCGTCATTGATAAATAATGGAAATGTCTACACTCATTTCACCAATCGTAACACAGATCTATGTTTAGTTAGATCCAAAAGATGCTGGACTCCTTGAAAAGTCACAAACATGGGAATGCAATCAAGAAGCTACTCTTATGTTAATTTCTTCATTTAATGTTCATTTGTTTATTGCTTGATTTGAATTGTAATACCTAACCGTTTTCTAAGAATTCTATAGATTACATTGACACCTAATGGTGATGTCGTGATGATTCTTATGCAGTGTTAGTTGTCTGGTGTTACCACTTGCTGATATAACAGCCCACAAACAAAATTGTGTGAAAAATTAATCAATAACCAAAACCTTTAAAACCATCCCATCTCATCAAGCAATTATCACTTCACTATGTTTGTGGGATGCCTGTTGAACATCTGCAAGCTGACTGGCCTTTTTGGTTGGTATGAAATATAGCTAGAGATCCTGATAGATATCATTCACATACCTTCCATTAATGTCTTTATATTATTTCATCCAAATATCCAATGTTCTGTCTAAAATATGAAGTGATCATGTTTTCCTGATAATAGTTTTTATTCATCAAATACAATACTATAGAAACATATAAATATAAAATAACATTTATGATGAAAAAGCACCAATAATGTTAATAAATCAACAATAACAATAGATTATAAAAAATAAATATGTAGTATTAACATCTTACAAAATGCTTTTTGAACAGATGCAATTTTGAAATTTGTGATCAATTTCTAAGAATTAAAGAAAAAGATTCTCGTGAAAATTTATGAAATGTGTTTCCACTTGAGAAAAACTAAGTATTTATTTGTGATTCACTGTTTGGAACCTTTGGTGTAGTAATGAATGTTACTGGAGTTTTATCCCAACACCAAACTGTTATTTTTAACACCTCGACACGTGTTTCAATCACCAAGTGATCATCTTCAAGAGGAAGATTAAACAGTTTGATCTTCCTCTTGAAGAAGGTGATTGAAACACGTGTTGAGGTTTAAAAAATAATGGTTTGGTGTTGGGACTGAACTCCAGTAATATTCTGAGTATTTGTCAATAGATGTAAAGTTCTAATTTTTTTAAAACTAAGTCGACTGGATGTTCTAATCTTCACGCCGATATGTTTAAATTACAAATTTCATAGGAGAACCTCTGACATGAATTTCATAATATTTGCAATAGATATGAGTCTTTTTATTACAGGGCCATAGCATATAGCCTCTCCCCCCACCCCCAATCCTATGAGCCTGTAATTTAGGTGGTATTTCATCAAACTATGCATATTCATTTTTGCTTAACTTCAAACAAAACACAATTTTTTTTAATGAATATCTAAGGGCTGTCAATCATGATTCCCGATTGTTTCATGGATTTGAATCAATATTTCAAGATTATTTGCAATATAGACATCAATAATTTTGTTGAAACTGCAACTGATCATTGTCTAGTTAACAACCCAAGAAAGTGAAATGTTTTAATCTTCGGGCCAAAAAATGTCAGGGAGATAATTGAAGACAAAGTAAAAATAAATATATTCGACAAAGATCTGTCCATTGTAGATCGAGCAAAAAGTCTGGGACTTATTCTCGAAAATAATTTAAGATTGGAAACCTACATAACATGGAACTCACAAGATTCTTTATGGAAATAGAAACTTTCTTACAAAGGCAACATGAATAATGTGATAGTTTAGTTTTGTCTAACAAGATTCAGAATTCCTGTTTAGGTCTTATTCATGGAGTTCGAAGGCGAGAAAGTATTTCCAACAATTTGGTTGAATATGGTTGGCGGCTACATGCAGCGTGCTTATTTCACAGAATAATCATAACGAATATTCCAATTTACTTACATGAAAAAATTTCATTTCGAACCGATGTTCATACAATCAATATTCAATTTAATGGTCTTTTAACTTCACCAATTCGCCACCATGATTTCTTCAAACATTTACCAAATTGGCTATGTGTACAACTGTATACCAAAAGAAATTAAAAAAATCAATGTGATTACTTTTAAGTACTACTATAAGAATTTTTTGTGGAAGCAATAAACCAAATAATATATTTCAGATCCTTCAGTCCTGTTACTGTTTATTTTTTAATCTTCTGTATTCTCCATATATTCCACAATGTTAAGCTTGTGTGAGGTTAAGTGGTAGAACAATAATAATAAATGTAATTTATTGAACAAAATTACAATTTTGCTCAACTCAAGATTGCTTTGAAATAACATAGCTTATTTTACAATATCAAAAAAAATTATATGGATATAAAAATGAACAAACAAAACATTTTCATTGATAAAGTTGTGTGGTAGAACAATAAGTAATTTTGACTTGATTTGAACTTCGCCTTTGATGCCAGCCCGAGGATTAGAATTAATTTTAGAATTAATTTTTCAAATGTAAAAAATCTATATGTATCCTAAATTGATCAGAATAAATATACATTATTATTATATCTGACATACATTATTTCCAGCAGGGTTCCGTACTTCGCCACTCTTATTCATAGTATTCATGGATGACACAAACTTCTGCTTAAAAAATACAACAGCTGATTATTATCACAACAATGAATTAGTTAATATTATCTAGTTTAACTATGAAAATGAATCAACAAATAATTCAGCAAACTGAATCAATAAAATGTTTAGGAGTTACAATAGACCTTACATTAACTTGGGAAGAACACAATAATAAAGTGGTAGCCAAATTGACCTTTTTTTTTTATTGAAGCAATTACGAGATAAAGTTTTGATAATTTGAAAATGGTATATTTTGCCCATGTTCAGAGTGCTTTGTCTTATGGTCTCATATTCCAGAATCTTCAAGTTATACGAATGATGCATTCATGAAGAAAAAAATATTAAGGAGCATGATGAGAATCTCACCCCTAATATCATGTAAAAAATTGTTCAGAATCTTAACTCTGTCTCTATATATTCAAATCCAATATATCTCTAAGAATCAAAATATTCACTACCCTGAAACCATAAATAAGAACAGAATATATCAATCATGGCCAAAAATCACATAGATATGAACAAATAAAATGTTATAATGAATATCTGAAATCATGTTCTGACCAAACTTCAAATCAATTAAAAGTGAACTATTTGCATTTCTATTTTGTACTATGATGATTTTAGGAAGTTTCTGAAAAATAGGCAGCTTCTCAACATATTAAATGTTTAATGTAATTTTTCCTTTTCTTTAACATATCAATATTAAGATTTTTTAGTAGTAAGTAAATACATAATTGACTAGTTTATAAGTATTTATTTGTGTTCACATGTAAAGAACTGTAGATTGCTTTAATAATGAATGAAGTTACTACTAATCAGTACCTGCTCCATAATTACATTTCTTAAGACTCAAAAAGAGAACTGAAAATATGTTGTTCTCTCTTTTCTATCTTTAATGTACAATAATAGTTTTAATAAATTTTTAAAATGATGGAAGCTATCGACATATACATAGAATATTACTCATTTCAACACAACTCTTTTCGATACTGCATCGGAATTAATCCTAATTCTAATAGTAATAAAACAATCTATAATAAAATCGGTTTGTTTGAAAAATTTATTTTCAAAAAAATATAGATTAATTGTAATGAAAAACAACTAGTCATAATAAAGTGAGTCTTATCTAATTGAACAACCCGTAACTGTGCTATTTACAAAAATTTTTAACAGAGTGTTAGTGTAAAACATTAAAACTTGATAACAGAATTCTGATATAGTGAAAGAGGTATAGCTGCTATTGTAGAAAATATGGATATGAAAACTATGAGGTTAAAATGAATGAGGTAAATATCGGTTGTTCAAATTCTATCCATCACAATTATCTTAAGCAACAAAGTCCAAGGGTCTATTAAATCCACCCTTTCGGTTCATATACTGTCTATATTTTCTCTTGAGAATAACATGAACACCACCTGTTTCATTACCTTCCACCTTCTTGCCTTTAGTACTGTCAAAATTACAAAAGCCCATTAGTTTCATCATTTCTTGTTCATCTACACTTTTACCCTCGAGATCTGCGGCGGTAACAACAGGCCTATCAGGAAGAAGGTTTTTACGTTTTCTTTCTGGAGATCTGGACCTGGAACGGGAGAACCTCCTACGGTCATCTCTTTCAAGGGAATGTCGTCTTCTTTCCCTGTCTCGCGACCTATCCCTTGATCTTCTTCTCCTATGCCTCTCCTTATCTCTTTCACGGTCCCTGTCTGTCCTGTCTCTATCCCTTTCTTTGTCCTTTTCTCTATCCCGTCTCCTTGTACCAAAAGGGGATTTCGATCTACTTCGCCTACCCATTTAAACTACTGAAAAAACAATAAATCAAATATGTTATAAAACACCAAAAAAGATCAAAAATAAACTTTTCATAATTTTTTACCTTAATTTTTCAAGGTTTTTTTTAACTTTGTTTTGACAACTGTCATCCAAACTAGGAAAAATGTCGGAAAACGTCGATTTTAGTTACTTCTTTTTTTACGAGGAGGCGCTAGTGTTTGTGTAGAAAATTTGCAATGAAAAGAACATAGAGAGATTTATTTTCATCTCATCAAGTAAGTTACATAATGGCTCCTTTCCAGATTATGACTATTTCACAAAGCCTCAGAAACGTTTGAATACCAAAACATTCCTATGTCTTCTTGGCAGATAAATTCAAATTTCTCCCTCTTATTTTAATAAATCGTTGAGCCTTAGAATAATGGCAAATTATCAGTAGACTACAAAGAATGCGTATTTTTGGGAAAAGAAATTGAATAATACAAGATTAATATCCAGTAGGAATGAAAGAAGATGGGAAAAGACAATCACAAAATTTTCAAATGTAAATGGATTTTCAGTCGAATGGATTTTCAGTCGAGGTTTTGTCTTAGAGCAACCACTTCTAGATAATATAGTTTCAAGTAAATCGCGTTGAAAACTAATAATTATATATAGCATTCGAACACTGATGTCAAACTTTCGAAACATCTGACATCAGTAGTGTTATATTCAGAGTTCACATTCCAAAGCTCAGGAGGTGCATCGAGAGTAAAAAATAGTTTCATTCCATAATTCATATAGGTAATGAGTTATGTAAAAAGCGTATAACTCATTTTAAATTTGGTATATCATCGAAATTGATACATCTACAGTGATTAAGTGTAGATATTTTTTTTGTTCATGCCATTTGGGTTTCTCGAACAAATGAAGAGTTCAAAATTCTGAGTGGGAGTTTTTTTAGAAAAACAATATGGTCACAGAAGTGTAATTACCTCTTTTACTCTCCATGAATTCAATATTGAACTGAAGGAAAAAAAGACGAAAGTATTCAACTACTTTCTGTAAATTCAAAGACACTTGTATTTGAGACTTACTCTAAAACTGCAGGTATGAGTCTGTATCTATGGAATTGACAGAAATAATTGAAGAAGAATCTCGAAAGCAATTAGTTTATTTTGAACTGTTAAATTGTTTAATTAATAAGTGTTGACATGAACACAGTGTAAATTAAATTTCGCAAAATGCATATTGATAATATTTTCAATTCCATCTGATTTTTCTTCATATTTAATTTTGTAATGTAATGTTTAATTTGGTTTTATAAATCGTACAATTCACTCTTTTATTATATCTCCAAATTTATTGAAAAAGCCCTAGTTGATATAATTCTGGCAACCTTGCCAGGGCGGAAAGCATTGTCATTTAATAATCGTACGCGATTCAGTATTCTGCGCATCTTTCGAGATCCGTTTGAGAGTTCTTGTTCTGTGTGGGTTTTGGACTTTTAGGTTGGTGTTGTGTGCAGAGGAAAATCTGCTGTGGGTACGCGAATCGAGTATAATTTAGTGGACGATTATTTAGAAAGTGTGTTTTAAACAAAATTATAACCTAACTATAACGTTTTTAGCATTCTAGTAACAAACTTGATTGTGATATTTTATACCTACATGGGGCGTATGCCTTGGAAGCAGTAGTGGCTACTTTACCCTATTAACTTCTTGCCGAGTTATCGGCCGTTTGTCCGGTGATTTATCGAACTTCAGTGAACTTTGTTTTGGATTAGTATAACTACGGTAAGTGCGTTAATTGTTGTTATATAATTCAATTAATTTTGAGTGGTTCATCATGCCTATTGACAGATTTGTTCTGGGGTGTGTCTTATCATCTGTATGCCGGATAAGGTTTCCTTTCATTTTTGCAAAATTAGCCACCAAATGACACCAAACATTTTCAAATAATTTTAAACTTTCGATTTGTCACTATCATACTTGCTATAGAAAATACTAACGGCTGATAACTTTTAAATTTCGAGTTGATAATAAGTAAATTTCAGAATCTGGTCGATCAAGGTTTATCAGTTCTACAACACAAAAAGTAGACAAATTATCTATGTTCAGTGACCTATTATACATTTTAGTGCTTGAAAATTTCAGTCAGTTATTCAACATTCATAACTTATTATTTGAATTTAGCTAAAGAAGGTATTTTTCTATAGAGTGGAAGATTATGGTTTCATATCTCAATACTTGTCATTCCCGCCTGCAAATTGTGCATTATCAGTATTGCTTAACAGCACAAATCATAAACCCAAACGAGTATTATGTATAGAAGATGATCTCATCCTCATCTAATGAAAGTTGTTGGTTGTTGAGTACAGTTGCACAAAGGTGTATGGCACTTGAGTGAAACTGTTCATGAAATTTTATTGTATAATCTTTTGTATTGTGAAAAATAGGACTGATTAAGACTTGAAATTATTAATGTAAAATATCAAGACATGATTCATTATGTTTTTGTTAGCACTGAGGGATTTTTTTTATTTTTAAAGGTGTGTGTACATGTACCAATCTGAAGGACATAAAGACATGGATTAAGTATTGATTTTCAATGGAATATGAATTCTTCAACATTAAACTTGTAACTTACACGATGAGTGGTGCAAGAAATCACCTCAAAAGCATTACTTTTAAATATTTTCTCAAAAATTCCATTTGGTTGATCTTATGTAAATTTGTCTAAATTTATTTATTTTGGTTTCTGGAACAAAGTCCTCCAACATGCGTTTTTCTAATTTCCATTATAGTATTGAATGAAATATAAATTTTATATCTAAAATAAATTAGAGCTGTCGTTTAATTAAATGTTTCGATAATGCCCCTCAATTTGAAGAAAACTGATAGATACATTTGGAAATTTTATGTTTTTCTTTTTTATAATTTTTGACGATTCCCTACTAAAGAATTATATGTATACTTATACATAATATCTATGTGCATGAGTTCGGTTAGGTTAGGTCCAAAGTGAGTGGGTCTATTCGACCCTCCACCGCAACCCGCAAGGGTTTATTGTGGCTCACACCTATTAACACTCGACCAAATAAACCCAGCTTCTTGATGAAGCCAATTGGTTTGTATGGTGAGTGGTCTTTCAGGTCAGATGGTAAAAGTAGGGCTCTGCCAAACTCTAAAAACCTGATTCGGTCCCTAGCGGGACAGGCACAAAGTATGTGCTCTGCTGTTTCATCATTTTCCAAATAGAGGCGACACCCACTGTCTTCTGACAGTCCGAGTCTCTGCATATGATGATTCAAATGGCAGTGACCTGTTAGACATCATAGTTCATCCCTACTGCAGTCCAACAACTGTTTGGTATCAAGCTTCGAAGGGTGAATAAACGCCTTGAAATGAGCCAATCCTGGAAGATTCTGCCAGAAGTCTTGCCATCCAGGTGTTCAATCTTTGTTTGGCAAAGCCTAAAGCGATGCCAATGATAGGTTCTGGTCCAATGAAACCGATTGCAGCACCCTCCTTTGCAAGGAAGACAGCAGCCTCGTTGCTTTCCAGGCCAGTATGGCCAGGAATCCATACCAGAGACAATCTGTTAAGTATTCGTATCGAGGAGAGTCGTTTTTGGCAATTTGGTAGCAATTTAGACGTTGCTCGGTAGGAGCCAAGAGCTTCCAATGCCGCTTGACTGTCCGAGATTATTTTTATTGATTGTGTGAGGTTGGATTCTTTCAATCTCTCCGCACACAATTCAATAGCTGAAATTTCCGCTTGAAATACAGTCACATAGGTTCCTATGCAGGTTGATATCTCTGTCCTGGGTCTGCGACTGAAAACACCTGCACCAGAAACGGAAGGTGTTTTTGATCCATCTGAGAACCAACAATGCAAGAGTAGTAAAATATGAAAAACATGAATTGTTACAACTTATTACTCATGACATAGGTACGATTTAAGACTGGTGCATGAATCTACACTGACATTTTTTCTTCCTCTGCTGTATTATAGTATAGGTACACGGCAAGCATTAGAATGCAATTATATATCAACTTGAGATACATTTCCAATTATTATGCAATGGCGTAATATAGGTACATAGTTTTGTATTATTCATGTAATATGGTTGCTCTGACAGGTTAATACCAAAATAGAAGATAATGTGATGATTTCCTCTTCAGATTATTGCTTGCAATAAGTTGTAATATTATTCCACAATACCATTGTCTGAGCTTCATAGTACAAATAAGGTTTTTGGTCTGTGAATAAAAAAAAATATTATGTCTGTCATTTGGAAAGTATTACAGTGATCGAATTTGTAGACACTTGTCCTAAATTTGATGCCCCTTGGAACCCTTGGAACCAACGGAACCTTGACTGATTGTTGGTTCAACCCATATGTTTTGAATAAAGTGAATATACTATTGGTTTTCGGATAGGTACCAATTGGTGTGGCTGTGCACAGTACTTGTATGGACTACTGACATCGAACTCATTTACCACTATGATCATATTGTCCTGGTAATATATTCAGGTATTCATACCCTATTCATATATAAAAGTATGTCTCCCCATGCCTGTTACTCTTATCACTCGTATGCAGTTATCATTTGAATTGGAACATGAGGGATTAAATAATAAATGGGATTAATAAATAAATCAGCGGAGTGCCAAATGAAAATGATGTATTAGTAAGATATGCTCTGGATCAATATATGCTCCATTACAAAGGAAAACCACCTGTAAGATTATTTTCTGTGAGGAAACACAAATAACGGATTAAAAAACACACTTTAATGTAATATTTCTACTTGAAAGTTTATAAAACCGCGCAAGTCTTTCGCTATACAATACCATCTTCGGACGTCACAATATTGTGACGCCACAGGGGCCATTCAAATAAGAAACACATCAGATGTTCAGAAGCGACGTTTTATCATCATAACATATACAGATAGATGTCGCTAGTTCAACCAAAAATCAAAAGTTGAAAAAGTATTATCCATATCGCTTAGTTTTCTGGTTTAAATAGTCAATCAACAATTGCAAAGATAACCTTTTAAGTGACAAATTTTGTCGAAATTCTCATGATTTCTTGAATTCTTTGAAATCAAGTATATCTAAAAAGGTATAAACTTGCATGTTAATTGAATTTTAAGAGTAAAATGTATAAATAATATAATTTAGTAAATTGATCAATGCCACTTATTAGTACCTACTGTTATCTTCATTGTTGAAATTATTTTCGTTTCTTGGAAATCTATTGAGTGATCAGAGATGAATAACATGGTCTGAGAGAGCACACATTTCGAAAGCCTACAATCACTATGATTTTTCATATTTCAATTTAGTATAAATATTGTTTACAGATATTAAATTTCCTTGAGCTATTTCGGTAACTTTGATAAATTTCGGGGACAAATTTTTGATAAATGGGAAAGAAATTTTATGACTATCACTATTTATGGAATTTTGTTGATTTGATTCATTGGATATGATAATGAAAAGTAATTTATTGAGTAGAGAATGCAGATAGGAATTATACTTCAATATAGCAAATTACTTTCTAATATTTCTATCTAAGTAAAACAGATGGATGATTGATTTTATGAATTGCCTTTCATTTCTAGAAATATGTTAATTTTAGTTTCTCTCAGCTTGCACAGAATACCCACTATTTACCTGAAAATATTCAATTACAGTGGAGAAAATCTTTCAGGCATCCTTAATCCTTATTTAATATTGTTTTGAGTAGCCTAGGCCCCTAAATTTCAAAGTATTAGTTGCAAAATGACTGCCTATTTTATCTAAACTTGAATATTTATTCAAATAAAGATAAGATATTGTGTTTAATGAAGATAAGTTTGTTTTTTCTTTGTGTAGTTCATGAGTGAAGTGGAATAAAATGAATGACTAAATTGCTATAGATCATGTATGGAACTTATTTATGGAACTTGGATGTAAAAATTTATTCATAGACTAGATGACACACCATTACCTGTTCTAAATTTAAACCGACTTATTCCGTGTTTCTGTTTTTTATACGTGCTGAAAATAAAGATTATAAAAGTCCTAATCGAAAAAGAGGTACATCCTTTAGCGTTATATTCACGAAACAACTAATATTTGCATAACTGCCTCACTCAGATGTTAGATATGTGGGTGTTGTTAAATTGATAGTTTATCAATCCCAGATAGATATGTAATCAAAATCTATATGAAATATTTCATAATTGTGAGATATAAATAAACGGATTTCACTAGTTCGAACTTCCATTGTCTACTATATAAAATGATTTGAAATCCCTGAAACAACTAAAAAAGAAGAATTAAAAATGAATAGCTGAAAATAAGAATTATATTAACCAAAATAAACCTGAAATGAAATAATAGTGAAATAAAATACAAGTAAAAATAGAAAGTGAATAAAAATAAAAAGTGGAGCGATTCCAAGTCACGTTAGTTCACGACGTTTCGATTGTTAGTATCTACAATCGTCTTCGGGTGATTTTGGTTAATATAATTCTTATTTTCAGCTATTCATTTTTAATTCTTCTTTTTTAGTTGTTTCAGGGATTTCAAATCATTTTATATAGTAAATGGAAGTCCGAATTAGTGAAATTCATCATGAAACATTGTCAATCACCTTCAAACAAACATAAATAAACGGAATTGATAATACTAAGAAGAACGATGCAAGGCAATGCAGAGCAAATGAGAGGAAAATTAAATAGAAAGACTTAGTGCAGATGAAGAAAAATAAAAAAATAGAACGAAAAAAGGGGTTCTTG